TATAGTCAGAAGTAATATACGATACAATGTAACAGTGGCACCCACTTTACTTCCCTTATTATCCTAGGTAGGTGATAGGAATGTGAATCTGTGTGCCAATACCACTGCACAACCTAGAACTCTAGCAGTCGTACTCAAAGTATCGACGACTCTTGTTTTGCTTGGTAGTCGGATTTCCAACCATTCGAATAACAAAGCAAGAAATCAGTTTAGAGCAGTGTTTCCCAACCGGTGGTTCATGGACCACAAGTGGTACGCAGAAGATAAAATGTGGTCCGCGAAATGAAAGAAATACACACAAGACAACATATCTATACCACGATTTAAAGGTCGAATTCAAGTTAACCGATTTCAATGATCAATAAGTCACTATTTTTATAAGAACCAACTCCACGTGAATAATGAATAAAGTAATAGTAATATTGGTCCTTAAGCTAACTAGAATCATACAAAAGTGGTCCTTGACCAAGAAATTGTTGGGAGCCCGGGTTTAGAGCATGGACTGATATATTAGAACATGGTGTAGAGAAAATATTATGTAAAAAAAATGAGTAAATCTCGTGAACCTCGTCAGTCGAATGTAGGGTTGCCACCTTTTTCTTTGGTATTTAAAGTACAATGACGATTATAGGTAAGAAAAAAAAGTACACAGTACAAAAATAAAGTACCAATTATTCTTATTTATTATTATATTTAAAAATATATTTTTATTGCTGTTTGCAGTTTGTATTAAATAAGTACCTTTACTAAACAATTGCATTGAAATACTAGACAATTGCATCTTTACTAGAAATTGTCTAAGTGGCGCTAGCAAAGTTATCGATTCAACATAAATCGATAAATATAGATATAGAATCGATAAGTTTACCGAAAAATACTTACGACTTTAATAGAAATGAAGTTTGCAAAAATAAAGTATTTTCGTGTACTTTATAATTCTTATAAAGTATAGAGTACAATTACCTTAAATAACGTACAATACTTTATTATAAAGTACGGGTGGCAACCCTAGTCGAATGGCCAACATCGCAAATGCCATAGATTTTGGCAGAATCGAACCACAAAACTATAGCTCGACTGCAACCACTTTCCTATGGCCTTATTAAGTTAGATTTATTTATAAATCAATTAAAACAGGTAACCAACATTTTGATAAAATGAAGATGCACAATTACTGACTATCGCAAAGAAGTGTCTAAACACAAGTCTCTAACTTGTGTGTTGTTGTGTAAGTAGGTACTTAGACATTTAATTTTTTTTCTTTTTAATTTTAGGGACTTTTACACCGCATAACGTGTCAGTCGGTCAGTCCCATCGTAGCCTAATAATGTATAATTATATCAACTAAAGCTCAATGAATCAGAGCCCTAAAGTTGAACAACAATCTCGCATTATCAGTACTCGGCTCATTTAGTATTTTATGGAATGTACCTACATATATCGTTCTTGTTCAACTTCAAGTCCCCGAGCACCTTATTCTTATCAGTAGGTATCATATAGTCATTTAATTATGCATAAAAGACAAAATATACTTTGGTAAATTACCTGCCAATTTACCTAGGCTAGTTATATATTACACCTGCTTTCCCTTTAACAGTTGATATTTATCGATATTGATCCAAAATCTGTAAATTAACATCGATTTCTGATATTCGGTATTTCTGTCATGAGTCATGACAAATGAGATCAACCTACAGATTCTTGATTATAACCGCCGTTAATCTAAACCTAATACCTATCCAAGTAGGTAACAAATTCACTTGACAATCGAGCCCTTATTGAGTCCATTCTACATAATGTCGTATGTATATCTAAACTGCCTATATTACGTGGAATTAGTCGTGAAATCGTGGTAACGTAATTTAGTCTGTATACCTAAAGGCGACGGTTGAGTATTGTACACACGGCCACACATCAATCTATACAAAACCAGTATATCCTGGTGTCGCGTCGCATCATCTTTCCGCACATTTAACGTTCAGTTTATACTGGTTATGTAAAGCTCGATGTGTAGCTATGTGTACCAACATTTTGTCACTATCCTTACTCTCCCTAAGAAGAATTAAGAGGGTTAACAATAGGTACTTACATATTTAACTCGTCGAGTACCGGTTTTGTAGACACAATTATAGAACAATAGGTTGCGGTCACCGGTGACCGCTTGGTGTTTGACAGTTTAAAATGAGACAACCGCAACGCTCCGATTTTTTATATGCTTTACTATCTTAATGTGCAACTTTGCCTATCCCTATGGGGATGAAAGACATGTTATGTTATGTATTAATTTAGAGTCGTTTGGTCACACAAAGACCATGCCAGACCCGATTAAGCTGAACCATTTGAACTGTTATCTCAAACTCCAATCCGTTTACCAAACGCGGCCATAGTGAAACCTTTTCTACTTATATAAGTAAAGGGAGGACGGAGGATGGTGGGACAGACTAATGATGATCCTGATTTGATGATGATGATGATACCTATACCTACGTCACCTAAAACTTATTATGAAAACGTAGGTAGGTACGTACCTACGTAGTATTTTTTTTTATAGCATAAGCCGGTAAACGAGCAGACGGATCACCTGATGGTAAGCAATCGGTGCCGCCCATGGACACTCGAAACACCAAGGCGTTACAAGTGCGTTACCGGCCGTTTGGAAATTAGGTATTTGAGGATTGTGAAGGATTCGGTGATTCGGGAGACGGGGACTAGGGAGGGGGGTAATTGGGCCTCCGGTAACCTCACTCACACGACGAAACACAACGCAAGCGTTGCTTCACGTCGGTTTTCTGTGAGGCCGTGGTAGGTATCACTCCGGTCGAGCCGGCCCATTCGTGCCGAAGCATGGCTCTCTCACACTTATAAATTATAAACATACATAATTATAAGTTATAATTATGTATCTTTACACACACATCACATACGGCTATACAACATACCAATTTATAAGGTACCTTCTAGCTTCTGCCCACTACTTCGTAGGTACGCGCAATACCGTTTTCTCCCGTTCCCGTAGGACTTTCAAGATTTTTTCTCTCTTATTATGGACCTTCTCCTAATGTAATAAGAAATAGGTCGGTACAACAAAAAAAGAACTAGTGAAATCGGTCCAGTCAATCACGCGTGATGCCGTGACCAAGGGAAAAGGATTAATTTTTATTATAATTATATATAAAGACAATGGTGTTGACATTACCTACCATGTAGATAAAAATCCCTACGTACTAAATATTTCCAATTTATGTTGGTCCTCCATTGTATGATCTTTCCTTACACTCGACGGTCAGTTTATACTGGATTTCGTACTTACTACCAATAAAATTCTCATTACACTAATTTTCTACATACGACCATGAAGGTAGGTATATACCTTCACGCATACGGCCGATGCAGTTTGCAACAGCTTTAAAATAGTTTCTAATTGCTTATCTATCTCTACTACATAGCTTATTGTTTTAAAACAACGTACCTAACTTACCTATTTAGTACAAAAGTCCTCGAAAGTAATTTAGTTATAATATTCAACAAGAATGAACGTGACTAATAACTAGGTACAAACTGCAAACGGCGTCGATCGTCGGGTCGTCGATGATAACTCTAAATAAAACAAAAGCCTAGCGCATTTTCAATTAAAATAATGCAAAAGAACATAAAATAATACTCACTTTTTCTTTTTCCACCAGAATGGTCTGAATCAGGACACATAATTTCACAAGTTAAGACTCAGGAATGCTACTGATGTCAGCAAATACTGAGAGCAGTGAGAGCGAAGTGAAGTTGAACACTATAGTGTTCTACTGTTCTCGGAAGCTCGTACAGGAATGAAAGAGGCAGAAAACTAGCAAGCACAAATCAGTTACCAAAGGCGGGAATCACCCAACCAGAGAGCAGTGAAATAATGTACCATAGACAAAGTTATGTTTAGTTATAAAGATTTTTTTTTTCTAGGTTAGGCTAGGTTATTCTGTAAATGTCTTCAAGATTATTCGTTATTGTGTAAAGTACCGATTGTACTAAAAAAACACAGTAACATACAGTAAAAATAAACAAGTATTATTTTTCTTTCTGTTTACCGATATCTAAACCGCGATTTAAATTGTAAATATTAAGTACAAGCCCATCCTTTTACATGTGTCGCGAAGAACCTAACGGGTTACCGAGGCTCCGGCTCGACGTACAGGAGAAGAAACGGGGTGGTTTTAGTCATTAAGAGTCTGACACTCCCTCCCGCCTCACCCAGGCGGGAGCAGTCATTCGATGATTTTTCCCCCTTAAAAAAATCATTCTAGATGTCGCTCAATAATGAAGCGAATACCGCTGTTATTTGTTACTTTTGTTGTTGAAAATTACTAATAACTTTAGCAACTCTAGGGTCCATTCTGACATGATGATGTCCAATAATGTGGATGAAATAAGACTAACAGAAAAATAAGTAATTATATGCAAGAACGTCTTTCTTATTCGATAATACCAGACCATAACATTGACATAGCACTTTCCACTGATACTATTTGCTAGAGTCGCTAAAATTATTAGTAATTTTTAACAACAAAAGCAACAAACAACAGCGGTATTCGCTTCAATATTGAGCGACACGTAATGTAACTTTGGGACATACTCGACGACTGAATCACAGTTTTACAAAAGACAAGCTTATAGCTTAGTTTGGAAAACAGTATTTCAGTATCCTTCGTAATTCACACACGTCCATATCATTTCTTTTAATATCTTATTGTAAAATATTTGTAACACTATACAACTTTTAATTTAATTTAATTTAATTTCAAACTTTAGCATCGGGTTGGCTTTGCCTAAATGCCATGGTAAGAAATATAATTATCATTTTCTTTTGTTATATTTCGGGTCGTACCCTGCCATAAGCTAGGAATAGGTACCGTTTTGTTTGTAATGAAGTTAGGTCACAGAATCAAAACCATAAACAAAATGTATGTGTCAAACTGTCAAAAATATATCACTGTCAAATACTGACTATCCGCTGGACGGCAGTCACAGCAGTTTGACAGTTCGAAACACGTGTGGTGTGGATATTTGCGCTGCACCGCAGTGTGCATATAAATAACACAGTTTTAAACAGTGTTTTGTAATTTTTAGGTATAAATGTGAATTATAAAAGTAAAATGAATCCAAAGAAGATCGCCAAGAACCCGTCTTTGGCCTATACAAGCAACCCAGACTATCGGAAACCACCGAAAATCGCAAATCCTGTACGTAACCTCTTGCAATATTTATTTCACCTTATTCATTATAATAACAGTTAAGATTGTAATAGTGTTGTATGTTTCCAGTATCTACAATGTCTTGGAGCGCCGCACATTGATTCTTTCAACTATATGTTGCAAGATGGGTTGCAAGCAGCGATTGCGGATTTGGTGCCCGTTGAATTTGAACTCCCTAGCGGAGAACGGGTGAAAATAACTATTGACGAAGCTGGGTTTGCCAAACCCAGCGTTCCAATGGAAGCAGTGGGCGTTAAAAACCAGATACTACTGCCAACAGAGTGCAGACAGCGTGCTGCTACTTACAAAGGAGATTTCAAAATCAGGTTGACACTGAAAATTGATGAGAAGTCAATCACAGTGGATAGGTCTTTAGGATCTCTACCTATAATGGTGAAGGTGAGTAGTCATCTACTTTGAAACTAGGCAAAGATATAATATTACAGCCTTTTATTTTTTGTTAAAACAGTAGTCAGAGGTGTGTGTAATTATTGTACACAATGCTGACTTTTCCTTAATTATATTATTGCTAGATACAAATTTTTTTTTTAATTCAAATATCATTATTGCTAAACACAGTACATTTAGATGCATTACAAGATGTTAGATGAATGTGCAGTTCACCATGTTCCACCAATCAAGGCATGCAATTATTATTCCTAAATTATAATTGACGAGTTCCAGATTACAGCAATTTTATCAATTATCAGTTCGACATTTTACATGTTATTTCATAATAAGTTAAAACAAATATTAAAACAACAACACACTTACACAAAAGATATGACTTTTATCTATGTGCCTTTTAAATCTGCAATTCAAAAGTCAAGTCAATTCTAGCAATAGATTGAACTAGATAAAAATTAGCCTATGTGTTATTATATATATAAAACGGAATAGTTTGTTTCTTTGTTTGTTTGTTTGTTTGAACACGCTAATCTCCGTAACTACAAGTCTGATTTAAATAATTCTTTTTGTGTTGGATAGTGCATTTACCGAGGATGGCTATAGGCTATAAAACATCACGCTACGACCAATAGGAGCTGAGCAGAGCGTGTGAAACCGCGTGGAAGTAGCTAGTTCTAGATCAGGGCTGTCCAAACTACATACCCTCGCGGGCTAATTAAATTTCTTACAAAAACTGGGGGGCCAGAAAAATATTTTCAGTTGTATAATGACGTTTAACATTATATTTTTTACTCACAGACAATACTTGTAGACAAATCATACACTGAATTTTATTATTGTTGTTAAATATAAGATAAAGATGTTGAGATTAAAATGTGTCGCGGGCCACATGAAACCAAAACGCGGGCCGCATGCGGCCCCCGGGCCTTTGTTTGGACAGCCCTGTTCTAGATAATAGTCTACCCATTCCAAATTTCATTTTAATCCCTTTAGCTGTTTTGATGTGAAGAAGTAATAAACAAACATACAAACTTTTGCGTTTATAACACTAGCTTTACCTGCATTCCCGTGGGATATTAAATAGCCATGTGTGATTCCAAACCATAATCTACCTCTATTCCAAATTTCATCCCGAATTCATCAGCCATTTTGATGTGAAGGATATATAAACATACAAACTTTTGTTTGTATAATAGTAGATGGCCCGACAATTTTGAGTAAAGAACGAAATCAGAAAATCATCATAATCATATTATATTAATATAATTATTAAAACTCACAAAAACGTTTTATTTACAGTCTAAAATGTGTCACTTGGCGGATTTGTCACCGGAGGAGCTGGTGCAGCACAATGAACATGCGGATGAATGGGGCGGATACTTTATTGTCAAGGTATGTCTGTGTATTGTATCAAATTGGATAGTCATTGGTTAACTATTTTAAACTATATGATATTGTTGAATACAAATTAGAAATAAAGAATGATAAAGTATTTATTCGACAGTTGGCATGCACACAGATACAAAAATGATTTATAGAAGAGTAAAGACAATTTCTGCTTTATAATTCGTGAATACGGAAAGCAATCTCAACCTGGCAAAATCTAAAAATTTACAAGCGTTTGCGAGGTACCGTAAAACAGTTTTACTTAAAAGCGTTTTACCATTAACAAGATTGATTTAAGAAGTCATTGGGCGCAGCCTATGTTCATCAGTGGACGTCCTGTGGCTGATATGATGATGATGATTTACAAGATTGTATCACTAAACGATTTTTGTATTTTTTGTTTTATATTAAAAGAGAAGACTAGTTGCCTCTTTGAATTGTTATTTGATAGTTATTTTTTATTTATTTTTTTACCATTTATTTCAATCAATTACATAGATCATTAATTACACATCTATTACACATAACAAACAATAATACAATATAAAAGTCACAATCACATATCAAAAATCACAATCACAAGTCAGTCATCACTAAAATAATTTCCTAACTCAAAACAATAATTTCACATTAGCCAGTACATGAACCATACAACAGTGGTTCATGTACTGACAGTCAAAACGTTCAGCAAAGGCGCTCAGGATACTATTGCGGCTGCCCCGCACCCTGTTCATTAATGACGTGCACCGCTTGCGCATGATTGTGTTGAAGCAGTCTACCCGTGCGCTGGCAATGTACGTCCAAATAGAAGTAGTAGACCACTAGATTCGTCTGCGTAACTTCTTTGATTCCAATTTTCCAATTTTCGAGAATATATTGTGAAAAGGAGTGTTTATCTTACAATGTTATTAGTTATTATTTCCTTGTTTATTCAAATATTTATGATTATTTGCAAAAAAAAACATAGCGAATCTCGCAAGACTTTGAAATTGGCGAGATCTCTCGTGAGACCCCAAAGTAATAGTATCGAGTACGCGTTCGACGCTATGATTGGTTGATTCATTGGTGCCCGCCGATCAGAGCGTCGAACGCATACTCGTTTCGAATACTTTAAACGTAAATCAAACTCGTACTAAGGCCTCTGACGACATTTGCATTCTCTATTCGTGCATAATAAATCCAGCCTGTGTCACTATTTTTTTCAGTATCAGCAGTAGTGTCAAAATGAAAAGAAAATAGACTAAACTTTGTTATAATATATCATTTATCATGGAAAATGTTCTTCCTTTTTCAGGGACATGAACGGTTAGCCCGTATGTTGTTGGTGACCAGACGAAACTATCCCGTTGCTATCAAACGTTCTGGATGGAGGATGAGAGGGAACTTGTTCTCAGACTACGGTGTCATGGTCCGCTGTGTCACTTCAGATCAAACTAGTACGGTATGTTTATTTTGTTACTCTACAATGTTACACAAACTATTCACTATTTATTTATGTTATGAGTACCTTGTAATAGGGGGTGAGCCTATTGCCATATACCGGGTACAATTCCAGACTCCGTGCTGCTACTGAGAACTTTATTAAAAAAAACTCAGTAATACTTTACTCGACCAGGGAATCAAACCCATGACCCGGTGCCCAGCAGTCGCGCTTACAAGCACTCGGTCAATGAGACAGTATCTATATTTATTTTGTTGTGATATCCATTTCTTGTAGCTGTTAATTGTCTTTATACATAAATTAACTAATTATATGTAGTTACTACGATCAAAAATAAATTAGGTCGATAGGTACTTCGACTTTTCTATACAATGAAATATTGCAGCAAAGCCACTGTAAGGTACTGCAACCTAAACTGGAGCTGAAGTAGCTGGAGTAGGAACAGTGGCATTTAGTCAGTAAGAGTCTAACGCTCCCTCTCACTGCACCCAAAGCGAAGGGAGTCAATTGATCGTCACAAAAAAGGCTATTAATGTAATATTGTTTCCAGAACAACGTACTTCACTTTCTAAACAACGGTACATGTAAGCTGATGTTCTCCTACCGTAAAATGATGTACTATGCTCCTCTGCTGCTCATCATGAAATGCCTGGTCGACTGGCCAGACCACTACATATACAGGCTGTTGCTACATGGGAAGAAGAACGACCTGTATTATGTCAAGTAAGTCTCATCATCAGCAATTGCGCAGCTATAGACCAGGTTATTCAAAAACTAGCTAATTAACCCTGCGCGACCCGCTGCGCTGCTCGACTTGTACTGATTGTAACGTGATTTTTTATAGCCTGTATAAATGGACTATCCAACATAAAAGGAATTATTCAATTCGATCCAGTAGTTACGGAGATTAACGTGGTCAATAAACAAACAGGCAAAAAAAACAAAGAAACAAACTTTTCTTCAAGTATAGATTAATCATAAACTAAATTTAACTTACAGCTGCATACAGAACATGCTGAGGGAACTACACGAAGAGGGTCTACATTCCTCCCATGAATGCCGTTCGTACCTCGGAAGGATGTTCCGTCCCAAGCTTTACGAGTTACCTCCCTGGTCCACCGACTTGGATGCAGCAGATTTCCTCATCAACCGATGTGTCATGATCCATCTGAAGGATCATAAGGATAAATTCAATGCGCTGGTGTTCATGGCACAGAAGTTATATGATTTGGTTCAGAATAAGTGTAAGGTAAGCCATGAATTATTAAATATATTTTTATTTATTTACTTACTATGAGATTCGAGAAACGCTCGACTAGTTTCAAGCCATTCTGGGACTCTTATTCATGAAGTTTCATCTTTGAATGAAGTTTGAGAAATAAAATTTTCAATTAAGGTACTCTCATTTAGTAGGATGAGGAGACCCTTGTTTTGGTTTTCGGTCGACGAAATTTTACCTAGAAAATGTAGTTGACATGTAAATGGGTCTCCAAACACCAGTGTGTTCTTAAACAGTTTTAAGACTCCAATCTGTTGGTTGTCAGGTGGAAGGTGCAGACGCTGTGATGGTCCAGGAGTTGTTAGTAGGTGGTCACCTCTACCTTCAGATCCTGAAGGAGAGGCTGCAGCAGATCATGACCAACTTGAGGATACAAGTGCAAAGGAAAGCTAAAACTTCCAAGAAACTGGATATCGGTGTGGTGAGTTTGATTTATTACTAGCTACTTCCGCGCGGTCCTATTAGTCGTAGCGTGATGTTTTAAAGCCTATAGCCATCCTCGATAAATGCGCTGTCCAACACAAAAAGAGTTATTCAAATCAGACTTGTAGTTACGGAGATTAGCGCGTTCAAACAAACAAACAAACAAAAAAACAAACTCTTCCGCTTTATATAATAGTATAAGAATATTCTTTAATCTTCTATTTTTTGTGACCCGCAAATTCTTCTGTGTGTGGTTGTGATGTGTCTTATGTATGTATGTATATGATCTATTATACTTATTATTATTTAAAACTAAAGTGTTCGTTTGATCGCACTAATCTCCGAAACTGCTGGTTCGATTTGCACTATTCTTTCTGCTATAAAACATCACTCTACAATCATCAATCAATTGGAGCCGAGTAGAGTGGGTGGAATCGCGTGGGAGTATCTAGAATCTAGAATTTTATAAAAACACTATTTAGTATTTTGATATGGTGATAAAAGGGTTAACGAATCACCTGATGGTAATCGGCGCTGCCCCACACCAACACTAGACCAACAAACTCAAAGTCAAAGCATTTATTTCAATTAAATTTCAATTTGGTACTGTTAAATTGGAGCACTGAAGGAGTTACGAGTGCATTCCTAGCCTTTTTACATTTGAGGATTGGGAATTTAACTATTTTGCCATTTCAGCACGAAGTACAGCAGATGCTCCGTAGCTGCGGTAACTTGGAGCAGAAGTTCGAAACGTTCCTGGCGACGGGCAACGCGCCCTCGAACAACGTCACGCTCGCCCAGTACAAGGGACTCACCATAGTCGCTGAGAATATCAACCGTATGCGATACATGTCGCATTTCAAGTTAGTACTGAAATTACTAGAATTATTTAATGTATCCTATGTATTTGCTATCTTAGACTCCAATACACCTTATACTGATTTCGTTAATTTTTGCATTATCAAGTAAATGTGTATAGATCGATCCACCGCGGCTCGTTCTTCATGGAGATGTAATGTGTATAGATCGATCCACCGCGGCTCGTTCTTCATGGAGATGTAATGTGTATAGATCGATCCACCGCGGCTCGTTCTTCATGGAGATGTTGTAATGTGTATAGATCGATCCACCGCGGCTCGTTCTTCATGGAGATGTAATGTGTATAGATCGATCCACCGCGGCTCGTTCTTCATGGAGATGTAATGTGTATAGATCGATCCACCGCGGCTCGTTCTTCATGGAGATGTAATGTGTATAGATCGATCCACCGCGGCTCGTTCTTCATGGAGATGTAATGTGTATAGATCGATCCACCGCGGCTCGTTCTTCATGGAGATGTAATGTGTATAGATCGATCCACCGCGGCTCGTTCTTCATGGAGATGTAATGTGTATAGATCGATCCACCGCGGCTCGTTCTTCATGGAGATGTAATGTGTATAGATCGATCCACCGCGGCTCGTTCTTCATGGAGATGTAATGTGTATAGATCGATCCACCGCGGCTCATTCTTCATGGAGATGCGTACGACGGAGGCGCGCCAGTTGTTGCCGGACGCGTGGGGCTTCGTGTGTCCGGTGCACACGCCGGACGGCGCGCCCTGCGGACTACTCAACCATCTCACCATGACTGCACAGGTATTTATTAACTTTTTAGTGTTTTTCAAACACCATATGGCTGGAATTTAGCCAGAGGGTGGTTTGTCCAATCACTGTAGCTCTCATAAATTGAATGCCCCATTCATGCCCCGTTCATTGTCCCCTTAAATGTCCTCTCACATAGCGAAATATAACGCAAGTATTATTTCACGCTGGTTTTCTGAGAAACCGTGCTCCAGTCAAGCCGGTCTATTTGTACCGAAGCATAGTCCTCCCACGTAAACTATTAAAATTATCCTAAAAAAGCTTAGTACCAGCACTTTGAACTACTTCAGTCTGTTCTTTCTTTACCATATTTCCAACCTTATAACTCTGCAATTAAAGTTTTTCTTTATTTTCAATGACACTTTTTATATTCATTGATTTATTTTCAAGGTGACACAGCACGCGGATCCGAAGCAAATAGCGGCATTACCACAAGTGTTAGAACGGTGCGGTGAGTAAACTATCTGTTACGGTTTTACACTTTAACAACTGAACTGGTTTGGATGAAATTTCATACTGATATAGAATAATCACTGGGAGGACAATAGTCAAGGAATACTAAATGCTTCCTAAAGTTACCATTTTTTTTTTTTGTTATGGGATAAGCGTTAAACGAGCAGATGGATCACCTGATGGTAAGCAATCGGCGCCGCCCATGGACACCTGGAACACCAGAGGCGAGTGCTTTACAAATGCTTTACCGGCCTTTTGGGGATTCGGAGTTTGAGGATTCAGGGATAAGGAAACGGGGGGGGGGG